TCGCGCTCCATCCGCACGCGCAGGAACGCAGCGCTGGTGTGTGCCGGCGTGTGGCTCACCATCGTCGGAGGAGGAATATCGGTGACCTTCTTCTCCACCATTAACAGCAACAACAAAGCCACCACCTGCTTCGAGGGCTTCTCCAAGAGCACCTGGAAGAACTACCTGTCCAAAATCACCATCTTCATCGAGGTGAGTCCCCGACAGTCAGACATAATACCATAAACACGAGAGACGCACCGATGGCAATATCCTCGGCCGATTCTGATTCCTGATTTTTTTAAGTTTGACCGGCTGATTTTCTTTCTTTCCAGTTAATTGAGAAAGCATGCACACATTTTTTTTTAAACCTTTCCTTTATTTAAACATTCTGATTCAATTCATGATAAAATATGGACTATATAAATATACTTATTCTCCAGCAGACCCTTAACACAAATATTTTTACATTTGCATCTACCCTAGCATTGCAACGGTAAACATGTGGTTACCCACCAACAGCTGCTTGGGTGTGGCTGTTAAGTAACTGTCTATGTACGTGTCTGACAAAAAAAACGCAAATATGATTTTGGTCACCGTTCATGGCCAAAAAACTGACAACTTGAAAGTTTCAATTGTCCGCTGAAGGATTTATGCATTTATGAATAGACACCATGTATACACTTTCTCTATTAAGCTAACCAGAGACAAAGCTTTAATGTTTTTCTATTTTTAAGTTAAGTTTCTTCTTTAATTCCCAGATTGTGGGCTTCCTTCTTCCCCTCCTGGCCAACTTGGTATGTTCCTCGCTTGTTCTGCGGACACTTCGGCGTCCGATGACTGTTGGCCGCGGCTGTAACAGCAAGAAACGTGTCCTGCGGATGATTTTGGTCCATCTGGGCATCTTCATCATCTGCTTCGTCCCTTATAACTCCATCCTCTTCCTGTACGCCCTGGTGCGGACCCAGGCCCTGGCTAACTGCGCTGTGGAGCGCTTCGCCCGAACTCTTTACCCCATCACTCTGTGCCTGGCCTGCCTCAACTGCTGCCTGGACCCCGTGGTCTACTACTTCACCTCGGAGAGCTTCCAGAAAAGCCTGACCATGGGAGGCAAAGGGTCCGGCTCCCGACACGAGAGCATCCCTCGCAGCGACAACGAGACGCAGGACGCCGCACACACTCTCCCCAGAGACACACACACGGCGGCCAGTAACGGGAAGGATTCGAAGATGTCTGAGAGTCAGTTCTGACTCAGCATGGCAGACGGAAGTTAAAAGATGGACGGTGTGGGTTTGACGGGAGCCCTGCATTTTTGAAAACAAAGCGATCAGCTGTTTGGTCCTGGAAGTGACACATAACTCAGCAGATTAGTTAAGTCCTGAGGTAAATCCTGAGGTATGGCCTGGGCTTTACGGATTAATCCAGCACTGGAGAGCAGAGGAATGTATCTGTGTGTGTTTATTATGAGAGAACACTACGGGGATCAGAGTCCCAGCCACACCAGGACTATTGTGCAGAGACACGCAGGGCCTCTGAGAGAGACTGCAACACATCATCACTCAGGCTTAACACACAAACACTCACAAATGCACTGGATTGTGGAGAGAATGGAGATTGTCATTAGCATTGTTGAAACATGCTGTTTAGTACTTTTGTAACACACTGAGCCCTTAAGTTGTATTGTTATAAAGTTGAAGCTTTCGCAGCACAATATATCATTTTAGACATTAATGTTGTGGCACTCTTTAGTGTGGTGAGACCCACTGTTATTGTAACACAGCAGCGCGCTGAACTACTGAGTTAAATGTGTCTCATGTTGAAGTTCGAGGCCATTAAATGTCTGTTTTGAATAACTTTCATGGCTGTATTTATTATTTCTGTCCCCAGCCCTATGCCTTTTGGTTCGGTCAAACGCATTACGAACTGGCCTTTGTCAGCGTGACTGGAGGTTTTGATTTGACCCCGTGGAGGAGTTTTTTTTCTACTCCATGTCTTCGTTTACATCAAGTAACCAGAGCGGTCTTGTTCTCTAACATAGGGCGGCTCTGATCCGGTGGAGGACCTTGGCCTGTTTGCTGTGTCACAGGCCAAATGCTTATTATGACTGGAGCAATGGTCCATTGTTTGCCTCTGAATGAGCTCTCTCTGTCTTAATCTGGCCTCAGACTGCAGATCTGCTCCGTAAGTCTCTTACAGTCAGCAATGTGCACACACACTCCAAAGTACGGACAAACACTGTTGACTAAAAACCCAAAATCATCGTGTTACGCTGCACGTAGAGCATAAACAGTAATCCAAGAGTTTGCTGAGATTGCTTTTTATTTGGCAATAATACTTTCATATAAAATACCTTTATTTGGAGTCAGTACATAACGCTTGTTTCAAGCCGTGCAACACTGGGACTAAGCGCAACACCAGCAGTTAAAGCAACAATTCAATCAAATCATTGTAAGGAGAAACGTTTTCGTCTACAAATCCAGGTCAACTTTAGTGAACTGTGACCTGCCAACTTAGCATATTTGACCTTGAAAGTCCAGGATGAAGAAAAACATCCATAGCCAATTAGCATGTAGCACCCTCCACTTGTATTTCATTCAGAGAGTGATGAGACAAGAGTCAGAACAAGTATTTATTTTGAAAAAGCTTTCCCCATTAGCAGCCTTAAAAAGCTTGCTAACTAGCTTAGCATGTTCCCAGCTTTGTTGTGGTCTAGCCTTTAAAGGTGACATTGCATTGAGCTACTGTAAAGACCAGCATCTGGGTCCTGCATACATCAGATGACATGATGTTAGTACATGATGTTAGTACAAGATGTGTATCCATTCTTTCATAGAGCTATGCAGAGTCAGAGATGCATGGCCTTACTTGGGACAGCCATAAGGCTCTATACCTTAAGCAGGGATTTGCAAGAGAGAGACTGTAAAGAGAGAAAATCAATCCAGCAGGCCTCTCTCAGTTTGAGTGATGTGAACATGTGCATCCCGCAGCAGGGAGACAACAGTAGATGGAGTCTTCTGGGATTTGGAGTCAAGGGTAGCAGAGAGGACAGCAAGAGTGGGAGTGTAGAAAAGTATGCAAGATCTAGCCTTTACCCCTCGAGTGGTTCATGTAAAGAATGTGCTGAAATATTGCAACAGAAGACGTGTGTCCTTTAATGGAGCAATCTGCATACTGAAGGAAGAGTGACAAAAGAATATAGGCCTCCTCTGACCTCTAGTGGCCATAAGTCAGAAAACACCAGAATAGAATAAATGAAGAAGTAGAAGGCCCAATTCCAAACCAAACCCTACCCACTCCCACTCCCACTCCGTGAGGGAGTGGACTCTGTCTGTAGTCACACTCGCAGCTGAACGAGGCTCCCTTCTTTCAGGTGGAGGGTTTAAATACAGCGACAAGCTTTGGAACAAACTCCCCTCCCTCCGGCAGAAACAGGAAACTTTTCGTAAAACATTTTTCAAATCAGCAATTTTAATAATACATGATAACTAAAATAAAACTCAAAAAATCTTTAATAGCGTTTCTTTTTTTGTAAACCTTTTTTTGTTTTAAAATCGGATGTTTATAAGCTGCTTGGTTTTAGCAACAGTGCCTGTAAATGAAACTTTATAATCAAATTGACATGTTAACAATTTTCTACAGTACACGTATGATCCTAGGTAAATACAAAGAGGTAAAAAAAATGAGGTAACATCAAGTTGTTAACATCTGTTTGACGATATGAATTGTCTATCTTGTTTTGCGTAGTTTACCAGTAGCCTTAATGTTTCCACGGAACTATTTGTAAACAGCATCAGGTGCGATGCAGACTCGTTTTTGGAGGGCTTGATAACCCACTACCCATTGCTTCCCCTCCACACTTGTTGGATTGGAACGGCACCTAATGTGGTGATGTAGTGTGTAGGGGTAGGGTGTAGGGAGCGGTTTGGAATTGGGCCGAAACATTTAAATAAACACATTAGGCCCGAAATACACACACATTCATAAATGCATGTATTAATTGAGAGGTGTCAGATTGAACAGGCTGCTTTAGTCATGCGCCTAGGGAGGTAGGGGGTTCTGTGCCTTGCTCATTGACACCTCGGCAGTGCCCAGCAGGTCAAATGGTACCTCTATCAGTCAACTATACCTATATCTTGGTAGGTGCGGAGACTTGGAACAGTGACCATCCTGTGATTGCCGCCACAAATCGTTAACCGTGATGTTTTTTTTTCTTTCTTCAACATCAGCCTGCCCTGGCTCTTTAATATTGAACTGTGTGTAGAGTGGAAACCACACAGTGGCAGCACAGGAAGCTCCAAAAGCAACACCTGTGTGTTTGGCACATACCTGTGAACCTCTGAGCAAGCCATTTTCTCTGGGTGTGACACGTGTACAGCATGGTGTGACACTAACAGGATGGATGAAACCGCTGCTGTTCGGTTGAACTATGGGTTGACATCCGGAGAAAACAGATGCCACACAACTTAAAACCAAAGATGGTTGAAAAAACAAGTTCAAAGGGTCACAGGACTAAGGGTACTAATACTAATGTATACACAATCTACAATACACACATATACTCCTGCATTTACTAGGTCACTTGCAACATTCTCTGCAATATTTAGCATATATTTATTTATTTTCCTGACATATAGTTTACTTCATCTGCATTACATGCACATTGGTCTGCAACATAATGCACTATTGTATTCTAATCTATTTTACTGTTTCCTTTTCTTTATTTTATTTGTATTTTATAATCTGTTTTATGTCCTATTTAACTATGTTGCAATGTTGCAGGAGCTTGGGACTTAAGATTTGCAATGCCAATTCTACACTATAGCTACTGTGCATATGACAATGAAGCTTCTTAATCTTGAATTGAAATCTACTTTACAAAATTAATGCTTTGAAGCACCACCATTTATAAAAAAAGGAAGTGTAGAATCTGATAAGGGAAGAGAACTATTGCATTTGTATCTGCAAACATCACAGCATGAGAGAAAGAGAAAGTGTTTAGACGGTTAGACACGAACTGCATGCCCTCACACACTCGACATACAGAGGGAAGAAGAACTAACATCTGCCATGTTTTGGATTCACAACTTTACAAGGGCTGTCATTTTGCATTCTTCACCACACACTCCACCACCATCTCACTGTGTGCCCAATAGTGTGTGTGTCTCAAGTTGCTAGGGGCCGAGTGATGTCACAGACGGTAGCGTGAGGTCAGAGCTTCCCCTTATAACCTACACAGAGAACAGACCAGACTTCACAGCCGCGTATCTCAACATATCTGAGAAAGAACCCACAGCGTTGGCAGACGTGCTCACATGCAAAGGTCTCTGCTGCTGTGGTGTGACAGGAAGGTTTGCTGCTGACCCTGTTTGCTGCTGCACAGCTCCGAGGGAGAGGCAGTGCGTCAGTCTGCTGTTTACAGTGAAGTGTGAAGCTGCTGCATGCGGTCGCTGGCAGTTGCTCCTGAATCTGACCTCTCATCTCCGTCCACGCTGATCCTTTAAGGTGACGACAGAGAAGGTAATCAGAGTTTGTGCTTAGAGAAAAAGTCATGCTGCTGTGCTTTGCCTGTGTTTGTTGTTTTAAAGCCATGCCTCACATTCTGCTGATGATAGGAGAGTTGGTATTGAATGTTCATAGTTTAAGTTAGTGCATTTCTGCATTTAGGTGTAAAATGTTGAAATAAGATACTTGTATTTTGTCTCTGTTGTGGTAACTTTATATTACATCAGCACTATTTTAAGTGTCATCTGGGATTTTAAGACCAAACATGAGAAATATATCAAATGTGCTTTAAATCGGACAACGTTTCTTGCACAGCAATGTAGAGAAGATGCAAATCCCCAATTGATCCCCTTAAAATCCTTAAAATCCTGCATGCTACTTACTTAAATTCAGATCCGAGGGTGTGCTTTGTGTAACTCATAACTGTACAGGTAGTGTGAGGGCATCTATTGGCTGACTGCTGCAGACTGATAGCACCATCACCCAATAGGAGTCAAGAAGTGATAAGTTGTGAAAGTAACAGTAAAGCAAAAAAAACTGTCGCCGTTTCTCTCTTCCCCCTCTGGGGCCGGCAGAGGAAGGGTGTGGCGTCGTCTTGATGGCAGAAGGAAGGGCGATGGTTCAGTGATAAGCAGTTAATGCTTCGTTCTGCTTCCACACATTTCCTGCTGCAATCTTAGGCCAGACAGAGACATCTCTGATTTATTGCACTCTGTATCAGTATGATTCATAACCCTGGTTAATCTGGCATAAAGCCGCCACTTAGCTATATCAAAAAAAAAAAAAAAAAACATGTACATGTACTGTTACATTTGTGAATACAGGAATTTGACGTATTTATATTATAAAGACTTTCTAATAGGCAGTACGTTTCACCTATTGACTTTATTAATATTTGAAAAAACATTCAGCTATGAGCCATCACTTGGCTGCTGTTTATCATCCATCAATAGGACTACATGCTTTTAGTTTGTAGCTCTTTATTTTAAAAGGATGCTCATTCCAATGCACTGTTGGACCTCAACGTCAGGGCCAAAATACATATATTTCCAACTGCACCTATGGTGGATAGTTGGAAAACTCCTTTACTATGTCGTAGTATATCTTACAGTATGTATATGAGTTATATACAGTATATGACTATAACTGTATATTTAACAATAGAGTGATGGCTTTTTAGAAAGTGAAACCCATAACCACCCCTTTATTCATGGCATCCTCACACATGAAACTGCAGACATGACCCCGCATACTTTCTGTCTGCATTTGAGAATCAGTTGCTTAAAAAAAGGAACGGGCTCCAGATGCGCTGCAGCCCTTTTACAGAAGGATAGTGACCTAACAGTTAATTGGGAGGGTCTTCCTGACTAACTGAAGATGAAACTAAGAAATGGGAAACGGTAACTGACCTTAGGGTTGGGTTGGGTCGAAATGATTCTGTTCCTCTGACAAGCCACAAATACCAGACTTTTTTCTTTACAACTTGGCAACCCAAGTGTGGTCCTGGTAAGGGCACCTGTAGTTTACAAATTATTTATAGATAAAGATGGCGGTCAGCAGAAAGTACAGACCACCGCCAAGTCTGTTTCCATTAGTGAAAAAGAACTGCCCCGTGATTCTGATCCACTACATAGTTGTATTGGTTAGGGTTAGGGTTAGGGCCTACAGCTCTCCACTAAGTTTCATGAAAATCAGGCCGTAATTCTGCTCAAAAGCAAACAAACCAAACAAATGTAAAAAAAATATCCTTTAAGTCGAAGGTAATTAGGACAATTTGTCAACTTATGAAGTCTTTATAAAGTGTTTCTAATCAAGAAATGGTTCCAATGAATTGGGATTTCTTTCAAAATGTTAGGTTAGAAAATAATGTGTATACTATCAATACCATGACCTGTCGACTCTACTATTTGTCTATCATGTGTTCATTGGTGATAGGATGAAGGATTGATTGGAAGAAAAGTTGTTGACACCAGTGTGTGTGAGAGACAAAATGACTCTGAATACGTCTGGAGCGTGGGAGGAGTCCCTGACCGACTCCTCCTCACGATGTGGACACAACATGACCAGCTGGGAAGAACGCATGGACACCATGTACACCTACTTCTACCTGCTGCTCTTCATCCCCGGCCTGTTGCTCAACACCACCGCCCTCTGGGTCCTCTGCAGACACATTAGGTACACACACACACGCACGCACGCACGCACACACACACACACACACACACACACACACACGCACACACACACACGCACGCACGCACGCACGCACGCACGCACGCACGCACACACACACACACACACACACACACACACACACACACACATTGAGCCTCAAACAGGCTCTGGTCATGGCTAACTCTCCTGCATGTTGCTCCACAGTAAGAAGACCAAGGCGGTGATCTTCATGATTAACCTGTCGCTGGCCGACCTGGCACACATCCTCTCTCTGCCCCTCAGGATTTATTATTACTTCACACACACCTGGCCTTTTGGACGAGGCGTCTGCTTATTCTGCTTCTACCTCAAGTACCTCAACATGTATGCCGCTATAGTGTTCCTGGTAAGCAAGAGTAAAAGAGAAAGTTATCATTGAGTAGTGCAAGGATACTAGACAGCATAGCATTGCACTAAGGGAGGCTGTGGCTCAGTTGGATAGTGCGCTGATCTTTGGACTAGGAGAGCACTGGTTCAATCCCCACTGACACGTCACTGTGTCCTTAGGCGGGGATTGCCCAGTGTATGTAAGTTGCTAAACGATATAAGCGTCTAACAAGTGACATGTAAGATTTTCACGTTTTTGTTAGGATTACCCTATTATCCGATAATACTTCTACTTTTGTTTTTCTTCAATAGCAAGATGAATATCTCAAACTCTCAGAAAGGTTTTTCTGACTCAACTATCTCAAAATATGGTTGCTTATAAAACCAAAAACAACTATATTACTAAAAAATATAAACACGAGTATCTCCAAATAGGTCAAACCCCATCCAAAACAAAACTGGACTCTTGAGGCAATGCTAAAGCTTCTCTTGGGGTTTTGAGGTATCTTGTTAATTCATTAGAACAAGAGATTTTTTTTATGTATTGAAACATCAAGTGTCATGACAGGAAGTCATTGGAGTCTCACACCTTCAATTGTCATCTCAGTGAGTGTAAAAACTGCTTTGACCATATTCAATGTGACACGAGCTGAATACTTCACACTTTTCCAGACTTTCATTTAAATTAACCAAATCAGTATAAAGTTGCCGTTGCTATTAGCTATAGCATGGCTGTATAGAAACGCTAGGTTAATGCAGGACCTCCTCTTGCACCCTAGAGAAGGCTCTCTGACTCTGATCAGTGTCTGCACTGTTTAAACTGCCTTATAGTCTGGGCTCAGCTTGTACCAGATACTTTCCACAACTTCTGCAAATGTAAACCAAAAAAGAGTGAGTCAAGATGAGCCGGTGACTCCTTTTTTCAGTTTTCCAAACACATTTACTTTCTGTGGCTCTAAATGTGTTTTTTTTATGTCATCTTCTTTTTGTTTCCAGGTGTGTATCAGCATGCAGAGGTGTGTCTTCCTTCTCAACCCGTTCTCCGCCCGCAGTTGGAGGCGGCGCTATGACCTGTTGATCAGCCTCGTAGTCTGGGTGGTGGTCGGCCTGGCCTGCTCGCCTTTCATCCTGATGCGGAGCAGCAGCTCCTCCAGCCACGCCATCAGCACACAGACAGTCTACAACATGTCCTACTCTCTGTCTGCCATTTCTACCCAGCATCCCTCAGTTTACATCAATCTCAGCAGAGGCTCCATCCCTACCAAATTGGGCTGTTTTAAAGACCTGCCCATGCGTCGCCTGTCCCCGTACCTGGCCATCACCATGATGGGCCTCGCTGAGCTTTTTGGGTTCATCATCCCTTTGACCTGCATCTGCTTCAGCTCCATCCGAATAGCCCGGTCTCTCTTCCAACAACACACCCAGGATCAGCAGAACCTGACCGGGCTCAACTCCACGGCACGCAGCCGACTCCAGTCCTTCATCTCCGACTGTCCAACGGATACTTCTCATGAAAAGCTGTCAAAGGCGGAGAAGCGGCGCGCTCTCCAGATGGTGCTGAGCTGCTCCGCGCTCTTCCTGTTCTGCTTCGCCCCCTACCACCTCAACTTCCTGCTCTACCTGCTGGTGTCGCAGGACATAGTGACCCACTGTGCGACCCGGCTGGCGGTGAGTCAGTTCCACCCGGTGTCTCTGTGCCTGGCCAGCCTGAGCTGCTGCCTCAACCCTCTGCTTTATTACTTTCTAACGGCCGAGTTCAGGCTGCACCTCACCAGGCGCAGCTCCTCCTTCACCGCCTCGCTGCTCTCCTCCCCCATCAGCTCCCCCACCGCGCGCCCCGCACCGGAGAGACTGCTGAGCATGGAGAGTAGCTGCTCAGAGAGGGAGTAGCATTCTTCAAAGATAGTCGGTTTTTTGGTAACTCTCACCATGAATACAATGCATTTTTAAACAGATTTAGAGCATTATGATATATAGCACCTTATAATTGTAATAAGCACTACATATTCATAATGCTTTATAATATTCATCATAACACATTATAAAGGATTTTATAATTACTTATAAAGTATCACAATACTTCATAACTGTTATTTGGTTGCAAGGGTCAAAGTTATTCTATAATTATCATAGTTGTAATATTTATATTTATAGGCATTATAATCTCTCTTTTAATGCATTACAATGCTATTGATAGTAACTCTAAGTGAACATATGTTGCTTAAAAGTACATTTGGAAACTCTTGGGGTATACATAGAAATATAACAACACAAGCTGTTACCACAAGTGCTCAAAGTGAAAAATATCATTACGTGTGTGAAACTAATTGATGTCTTTAACAAGTCATAACAGAAATCCAACAATGGGCTCAAAACATCCGATGATACCTGAAACAATGTATTATTTAACTGTGGCTGTATACAATGTGTTAATGAGTCAATTCGGTGTTTAATGTGAGTATTTGATGGGAATTACATTAGTTAAATGCAAATGTGCATCATTTTTCAAAAGGTTTCAGGTTTCAACATAAATGACTGTGTTTTTTAAAATACTTAACTTAAAGTGGACCTATCATGCTATATTTGAATAATATAGTGTAGGACCATACCTATATAAGGCATATTTATACTTTTTTTTTTCAAAATACCAAACAGATCATGCATTTTAGCCATGCCTCATTTCGCTCAATTTGAAAAATGTTAGCTCTGTTTTTGCAAGGGCTGATTCTGTGAGAACAGCACCACCTACTGGCCTGGCATATGTACTACAGCGTCTCCAGCGCTTTCGAACGGCAATGGCCATGGCTGTCTCCTCCTGATTGGTGGAGTTGGCCCAATAGCCGTAGCGCCACCGTCCTGACGTCAGGACAGTGTTCAAATCTGGATCAGTTTTGATCAGATCCGTTGCAGCCCCTTTTTTAGAGATTTGGGTATGGAGGAAAATAGAGAGGGTTGTGTTTTCTGACGCTTGGTGAGTTCCCTGGAACACCGGGGACACATATTCATGTATAAAAGACGTACAAAAGTGCATTTTGCATGATAGGTCCCCTTTAAAGCAAACAATGATCATTGTATCTGCCTATACATCAGAAATTCCGTAATGCACTAAAAGAGCACATGGAGTCACATTATAATTCCTTATAACAGTGATTATAATACATTGTAAAAAATAATGTAATGTATTACAACTATGATAATTATAATACAATATGATCCTTGCAAGAAACAGTGACAAGCAACTATGAAGTACTAAGTTACTTGACCTTATAAGTCTTCAAAATTATAAAATGTTTTAAAATGTGTTATTGTTGTTGTTGTAAAGTATCTATGTGTGCTTAAAACAATAATTATACAATGCTATAAGCAGATTATACCTCTTTGTAAGTTGGTTTATAAAGCATTATGGACATGGGAGTTAGAGAAAGAGTTAAAAGTCATTTCACTGAAGGAATGACACAACGGAGACAGATCATGTTGAACTTTTAACAGACTGACAAGATCCAAGTCGGGCGTTGGGATGATTTCCCGTATCTCCGCTGTCTGAACACAAACTGACCAGAAAAGCTTTGACCTCGGTGTGAAGAACCTCCCGGAGGACATGGTTATGAGGACAAACAAACCATGAAGATGAGTGTGCTTCATAATGACCCTTCACACAATATCTGATGAAATAGGATCAACGTTGCCCCAGTGTATATAAGCTACAGCGTGTTGCCTGTCTTCTGTCAAAATGCAATAACTTCAAATAAGCTATTCCCTCAATGTCAAGGCTGTGTGTAAAATGCATATGCTTGTTTTGTAAATAAAAAGCGCCTATCTTTTCTTATCTCATTGTATGGTGTTTCCGTATGGGCTTGCATAACCAGGTGCCAACTCATTTTGCCTGAACTTCCTCTCACGATGCAAAGTGGGTGAAGGCAGTTGCAGCGGTTTCGAAAACGAGTAACTGCCAGGCTCTGAGGTCGGCTTCTAACCTGAAAAGTCACCCCCTCCCCACCCCCGCAGCTCCTATTGCATCTGCTAGACTCTGGCAGATGAATGCAACCCATCTCGAAAGAAATGCCAGTTGTCTGATTCACACGACCAAAATATGTTACGCCAGGAACTGTTTATATTGTATAAAATAATGAAGATAATGTATTGGGATATATCTAAGAGAAAGACACCAAAAACAGCTTAAAAAGGCCCCCTAAAAAAGTCTGTGTCTATTTTAAGTGTGGATACTCAGTCATGGTATATAACAATCTTTTCATCTGTCATTAAAAGGAAATGCATGGCTTGTCAATGTTTCTCACAAAGGGAAAAGTTGCCATAATAGCAGAAGTAATGGTGTCAAAATTCTTGTAAACCACACCCCCGCACTCACAGGAAGCCCTGTGTGTGATGAAACCCCCAATACAGCAGAGACACAGACAGAGAGAGAGGTACAGACAGAACATGAGTACAAAGCAGGAAATAACTTGTGAATACAGAAGAAAAAACTGAGTGGAAATTGGATAGGAGGAGCAGAAAACGTGATTAGCGTGAGAGAAAAGAAAAGGCGGGACAGAAAGAATATAGTGTTAGAAGGGGGGAGGAGGGAGGGGGATGTAACGACTGATGCTTCACCCTCCTGCAGTTTGATGCGACGCAGCCTCGAGCCTGAAGACAGAGGTGAGATATTCATTGTCTATTCCTTTAAAACTAAAAAACAGCGTTTGTGTGAGAGGCTGTAACAGCTGGATGCCTTCAGAGTGGAGTCATGCCTCATGGGGGACCCTCGCATGTTTCCCCAACGTGAGGAATGTGTGTTATGTTGAGGGTGTGAATGTGTGTTTGCAGGCCAGTGTCAGGCAGTGTCAGGCTGTTCCTTTATAGGGATCATGACATGTTTTGTGTGTTGATTCAGCAACACATGGAGGGACCTGGGTGCTGATCAACGAGGCAAGATGTCATATCAGAGCGGAAAAGCTACAAGGCACCAAAAGCCCACAAAGGGGTGAATCACGGAGGATGGGACCATGCCTTTCCATTGGCAAGATCTGATGAATAAAACTTCTGAATCCTAAGGTAGGAGTGCAACTCTTTTACGCAAAACAATAATATAGCTCGACAAGGTCCAGAGATTACCATAACACCATGACAACACCACAATAAGCCCAAAGAAGGAAATAGCCTGATTCATGTTAACACACTACCAATGAGAGAAGCACTTTGTACGTGCAGGGTGAGGGTAATGACAGGGGATTCACACCAAAACAGTCACACATAGGTCAAAGGTCAGTGAGGCTTGAAGGCAAATGGCTTGCCATAACTGAGGGTCCACTGGGACATGTTCCTCAGTGCTGTGAAGTAGTATACAAGCCATCAGGGAGAAGAGGCTAGTTTATATATTTACAAATTCTAAATTCTTCATCTTGGTAACCTCGACCCTGGGAAGTACTTAAGTACAATTATGAGGACATTTCACTTTGCTCAGTTTTTGGAAGTTATTCAACTTTGTATCAGCATATCATGCGATCATTGGCCCCTGTGTACAGACAGGGGCCACCACCTCTCGTTCAAGGGAAGAAAACACAGTCTTTTTGTTGTTATGTGTCTTTTTGTAGTTGTTTTTGTAGTTGGTTGGTGTTTCTGTTTTTTTTGTATCTCTTTGTAGTTTGTTTGGAGTCCTTTTGTAGTTGTTTTGTGTCCTTTTGTAGTTGTTTTGTGTCCTTTTGTAGTTGTTTGTGTCCTTTTTTGAGTGTTTTGTGGTTGATTTGAGTCTATTTTTAATAGTTGTAAGTCTCTTTGTGATTGTTTGTATCTATTTGTAGTCATTTCGAGTCTCTTTGTGATTGTTATATGTCTTTTTGTAGTTTTTCAGTTTCTCTTTGTAGTTGTTTTGTGTCTCTTTAAAGTTGTGTTGTGTTTGAAGGTTGTTTTGTGTGTCTTTGGGATGGTTTTCTGTCTCTGTGGTTGTTTTGTATCTCTTTGTAGTTTGTTTGGAGACCTTTTGTAGTTTCTTTGTGTGTCTTTGTAGTTGTTTTGTGTGTCTTTGTAGTTGGTTTGTGTCCGTAAGTCGTTGTCTTTTTTGATTGTTTTGTGGTTGATTTGTGTCTGTTTTTAATAGTTTTGAGTCTCTTTGTGATTGGCTTGTGTCTTTTAATAGTTTGTTTTGTGTCTCCTTGAGTAACATTTTGTAGGTGAAGAAGACATGGTATAAGCTTATGAAACACAACATTGTTAAAGGTTAAACCCAGTGGTTTGCAAGTTTTTTGGCTTGTGACCTCTTACAACAATGCAAAGTGTTTGGGCTTCAAATGTTATTTTAAAGGTATGAGGCAGATTGTTTTTCCTTCCCTCTCCCATAAATGATACACCCTTAGATCTATCTTGTGACCCTTAAGAGGGGCCTGATCCCTACAATGGGAACCACCTAACTTGACTACGTAACAGAAAAAGGTGACTTCCAAATTGTTGCATCAGTATTAGTTTCTTATTTCTGGTGATCTACTGAATAATGCTACATCAGTCAGCAGAACGACTACTTTCATTTATTTTATTTGTAAAGCAGGCCATTTAATTATTTACATTGATGTAAAGGATCTGAAAACTAAGCTTGTAGTGTGACCTCGGCGGCACACTTTCATTCAAATCTCCCATCAGTAATATCACTCGGTCTGCCTATTTCCATCTACGCAACATCAACCGCCTCCGCCCGTCCCTTAACCCTAAGACCACCGCCATTCTTGTTCACACCCTGGTCACTTCCCGCATCGACTACTGCAACTCCCTTCTCTTTGGTCTCCCTCTCAAATCCATCCACAGACTTCAACTGGTTCAGAACTCTGCCGCCCGCATCATCACCAGAACCCCCTCCATTAACCACATCACTCCTGTTCTTCAGCAACTTCGCTGGCTCCCCGTCAAATCCTGTATCACCTTTAAGGCCATCCATAACCTCACTCCTCTGTACCTCTCCGACCTCCTGCACATCAACACACCCATCCGCACACTCAGGTCTTCTGCTTCCCTCAACCTCACTGCACCCCCCTTCCGTTTAACCACCATGGGGTCTAGAGCCTTCAGCCGCTCTGCACCCCGCCTCTGGAACTCCCTCCCACCTGACATCCGCAACATGACTCTCTCCCCATTTTCAAATCACGCCTCAAAACACATCTCTTCACACTCGCATATCCACCCTGATCATTATCCATCACACATCCTCTGTTTTTATTTATTTGGTTATTTGATTGATTGATTTATATACTGCATTGTCTTGTTTATGTTTCTTATGCTGGTGTTATCTATTGTGTATCTTGTTTTTTATGTATTTGTACGGCGACCTTGAGAGCCTTGAAAGGCGCCTATATAAAATAAATGAATTATTATTATTATTATTACTTCCCTTACAAATACTAAAACAGTAACATACTGACTGTGTATTTGCCGATGTTTAAGTACATCCTCAAAAGTTTAGGGCAGATATTCAAATGCGCGTCATCAGTACCATTTATGTCACATAGTTTCCTTGCTGCTCGACAAGCTTCTCTAAACTCCCTGTGATTAAAAATGCTC